GGTGCCCAAGGAAAATTCATATAATAGTTGTGGAGACGTGCTTATGTGCCAACCTTTGCTGAAATGTGTTCCCTCTCCATCTCTCCAGGGCGGCACATCTCCTGTCCAGGTACCGTCCTCGCTTGTCCCATCATTTCCATCACCAGGAGCCCTCAGGTACAGTCTGCCCCTCTGAACCAGCAGAGCTTTTGTCTTGCTGAAAAACAACCGAATTGTTGATGAGTCACACGTTCCAAAACTGCACAACGTGTTATACAATCAATGTTCACTCTCACTGTCTTTTGTTGTCAATGATGACGGCACTATAAGGTCTCATCGACTGAGCACTTTTATTGGTATATTTCACTGGAGTGTATTTCTGTTTTATGGAAGAACATGAATGTTTCACAATGTGCTTCAGAGTAAATCAAGATTACTTGTGATTTTAAATGAATCCATATAAAGGGCCCTCCACATGATAACATTTCCACATGGAGGTCATAGCAGAACATCTGTGGTGTGGACACTCAGTTCTGTGGACGGCTGCTTGCATGGTCTTGACCATAGGTCTTGACCCTGGGACCATATGACAACCCCCATTACTGCTCAGATCACAGGATGGTCTTTTTGAATGTTGGAACCTTTATATACAGCGGAAACCAACTTAGAGCAAAATCTCTTTTCCAAGAGTCCCCTGTTGAAATACAAATAATGTGTAGTATGTGATGGGATACAACATTTACTTCAGAAATGAAACGGAACCAATAATGTCAAAACAAATAAGCAGTGAAAAAAAAATGCCTGTTGCTTAAATAAAACAAAGCAAAGTCAAAATAACCTTAACCGTAATAATATAAAACTTTATAGCGTAGTTGGTAGTTCAAACTATAATTATCAGAAGTCTGTAACAGAATAAAACATGTCTGTTTTTTTAGATTAAAGGTGAAAAAAGTGGAAAGGTCAAAGTTATTTAAGATAATTAAGATCTTCTAATGTGTTTTTCTGATCATTGTGTCTCAACCTGAGGGCGGAGACTTCCCAAGAGGTCACAAGAAAACCTTTTAAACCAGATACTTCGGTTACACAAAATTATATTAGGATTTCTTCCCTTTTTATCATTGAAATACTTCTTCTAAAAAATAATAATATTAATAAAACAATCTGAGCAAATCTCTCTTTGTTGTAACTCATCATAACTCATTTCCTTGTGACCAAAACCTTGATATATTTGGTCCTCTCCCTCAGGTGGCCCGTCAGTCGCAGCTGTTGAGAGGAGTGTTTCCCGTGCTCTTCCACCCTCTGCCTGCTCCCGTCTGGGCCGACGATGTAGACAACAGGGTCAACTTCGGCATGGACATAGGTGTGTGTGTGTGTGGTGTGTGTGTGTGTGTGTGTGTGTGTGGTGTGTGGTGTGTGTGTGTGTGTGTGTGTGTGTGTGTGTGTGTGTGTGTGTGTGTGTGAGCTGTGTGTGAGCTGTGTGTGTATATATGCCACCATTATGTCCTGCCTATTAGCTATGAAACCTTCTTACTCACACACCCTTCTCTGTCTCTTGCGCACCTCTTCAGGGAAAGCAAGAGATTCTTCAAGTCGGGGCGACATGGTGATCGTGGTGACCGGCTGGATCCCGGGGGTCCGGTCACACCAACATTATGAGAGCAGTCAACGTCCCATAACAACCCGACTTTACATGACTCTAAATCTGACTGACATGCAGACATATAAACATGATAAGAACCTAAAAAACACAATTTTTTTTCTAAATTCAACAATAACCACTGGTAGTTATAGCTTAACAAAAGCATTAAAGCAGCAGCATTATTGTTATTTAAACTCAGGGTTATGTTCGGGAAACACTGGTCTCATGAATGTTGAATTTGTGTTTAACGTGTCTTAAAGCAATGACTCCCTCCAAATAAAACTTGAATCATTAAGTTTAACACGCTGTTCATCTCTTTCATAGAGTCTTAAGCTTGACTAATTGAGCCGTATTATTCTTTTTCATCTCTGCTATTTGTTGGAGTAATATTGAATTGAATGTGAACATTGTCTCTTCGCCTGCCATTGTTGAAGCGTATCATTATTGGTAGCCTTATAGAATTTGGTAGATAAGTATTTTATTCCAGTCCTAAGCTTATCTCTGTGACGGCACAATTATTTTGCCCATTATGAGCCAGGCGGGGAGATGCAGAGATGACGGGTATTGGACTGCAGCCTTTTGTCCAAGAGATGACCCAGATGCCGACATCTTCCTGTTCTGCTGTAAACTCATTATTTCTGTTCCTGCGAAAGGCCTCATGATGAGCCTTTATGTGACATCCATGCCTTTGTCAAGCTTCCTCCTCCTTTAGTGTTTGCTTTCCAGCTCTATATGCTCAAATCCTCCTACATATCCATAACATCCACATGCATCATATGCATAGTGTAATTATCTGGGAGGTTGGTTGATTGATAATTTATCTTAAAAAAAGGAATGTGTTGGCTGCAATTTTAACGCTTATAGTTGAAGCTTATGGTATTTTTAACTAATTTGTCAACATTTAAATGAAGTTAATGTATTTTCTGTATTTAATTCCAGTTTGCAAAGTTCAGCTGTCAGATAGATGTTGTGAAGGTCAACAATATTTGCCTCGAAATGTAGTGAAATCTAATAAATAGAAGCCTCATTTAAATACAATAATCAGGTAAAGCACAAAAAGCTACTCTCCATGATGATTTGTTCACCTTATCTCTCAAAAGGTTTTGTTCCTTTGTGTGTTTACATACAACTTGTCTGGCATTTGAATTCCTATATATGCTATTATGCAGATTTTGATAGGAACCTTATAATTTATTGCACTGGAAGAAGCCTTTTAAAGAGATTAGTTTAGTCAGTTTGGACTCTATATTGTTTTCATTATTTAATCCTATTGCATTTTATCTTCTCTTCCCTTTTTTATAGTCTCATTCCCATTCTTAAAAAAGATTGTTATTTTTCCGAGGTTTCAATAAAGTTTCATCATCGCTCTCGCGCTCCCTCGCTGTATTGGTGAGCGAGACGATGACGTGCGTGCTTTACCTGCGAGGGATTCGTACGTCTCGTACCGGCCGGGCACGCTGCCTTGGGGGACGGATGATGGGGATGCGGATGCCATGGCAACAGGCCCGACTAGATTCAGACCTTTCATATGCACATTTATTTATTTAATATGTCATTTACATGCGATGTGCGCCTCTGAGGACGCGCCAGCTCGACCTCTGAGGGCTGAGCGAGGAGCGAATTTCAGCTTCAAACTGGATTCTCTCTGAGCAGCGCACGAAGGAGCAGCCCCCTGAAAGGCTCAACAAGTAGTTTTATTTTTTTAATTAGGCTTTTGAATCCAGCAAAGTAGCCCGTTTCACCTTGGAGCAGCTTATTCTATTTAAATATCGAGCCTTTGTCTGTCGCCGGTGTCATTCAGAGAGGAAGGACAGCGACGTCTGGGCACATTGTCAATTGAAACTCGACAGAAGTGAAGCTGGCAGCCGATGAGAGGAGATTTCGGGCGTCAGACTTTTGAACACCTGAGCAGGTTAATTTAGTCAGTTTTAAATAAAGCTTTCTTGTCAAGCCGGTACTCTCCTCTTGCTGTCTGACGGGCAACATTTCGGCGCGCCTCCCATCACAATGAGTATTTTTCCACTCGGATAGTGAACATGACAACGTGGCTTGGATTCTGTGAAACCATGGACAAGATTTGGAGTCATTTGACTTGTTTCGGTAATTTTGTGTTTCCCTGTGCGTCTGGTTTTCTGTGTGCGTGTTTCTGCTGCTGCATGTCAGTATGAATCAGTGCGCCTAGTATGAGCGCTATGTGCCGCCTATTACGTGCGTCCCTTATGTCCATTAACAACCCATCTCTGCTGGAAGAGGATTCAAGTGCCCTTGTCGTTCACCCGTGGATGAATGTTTCCCACTTTGCCACCTCACCGCCCAAGTCATCTACAGCATAATGATTTGTTCAAAATAGACAATTTGGGTGAGCAGCCTGGACACATAGGCTTAATAGCAGGGCACCGACGACCAATGAGAGGCGAGCTCCATTATCAACAAAAGACCGGGAATCCGGTGCCAAAATGACCGGCTGTGGAGCGTTAAGGGCGGCTGTGGAGAGAAGGGGGAGGCATAGGGGGTGAGAAACGTTTCAAGGACGAGGAAGGAAGCATGATACAGAAACATCTGTAAGGACATATAGGAGACTCTTTTAAAAAGGAGGAAAGTAAACTGCAGGCGTCACACTAGCAGTGGGGATTTGTCTGAATGGGGCTATTTCCAAGGGCACTGAGGTAAGCATGGGCACATCGGTGGAGAGAGAGAGAGAGAGAGAGAGGGAGGAGGTGTGAGGAGAATGACTGGAGACAAAGAGATAACGTGTCCTCAGCTTCTTCAATTTACATTGAAATTGACATTCTCACTTATGTAATAGTATAATATAGATAAGTCGACTGAAATAAAGACTTGTTTTTTGAGGGTTACACATTTTCTTCACCCTTTCCCTTTCCCTGCTCCCCCTCCTCCCTGCGTGAGGATGGATGGGGTGTCTGGACGGTGTGGGTACTCCCAGTAGTGGCGGGGGTTCAGGGGTGTGACAGCCTCCCCAGGCGTATCCAGAGGGGACTCGAAGCGGGCGCCAGTAAGGGCAGCCTGCCCTCCCCGGGGTACAGGCTGTCCCAGGCCTCCCTGGAGGGGGAGAGGGGCTGCTTCGGGGGGGAAAACACTTCCTCAGGTGGACGCGCTCGTCGCCTCTCCATCATGAGCTCATCCAACAGGGACGGACTTTCCTTCCGCACAGCTGGCACCCCAACCACCCCGGTGCCCCTTCCTCCCCCGCCCTCTTCCTCCTCAGCCCATCCTCCTCCTCGCTTCAGTGGGCTTTGCCGCCTCCCGTGCCGCCCTGCCCTCCACCTCTTCAACCGGGACCGGAGTGATGGTGGTGGCCACCGGCCCAGAGACCACCACCACCACCACGTGCAACACCCACTGCAGCAGGGACCCCTGACTT